AAGCCGCAAAGGCTGACAGGGAGCCCGTCAAGCCCAACATCGTCCACTCAGCTCGGCCAAACAGAGCGCTGGCTCGTGCCCATTCGGGACAAAGCTTTGCCTGTTTTCCTTCTCCCCGGAATCCCCGTCTTCTCCTGGGCTGCAGTAGCCACCCCCGGCGGGATGCCCAGAGACAGGCACTGGATTTTGCCTCCCCACAGCAAACCAGAAGGGCATTGGAAAAGGTGAGCAAAGGGTAACAAAGGCTACAAAAAGGCACCAGTGGGATTTGAATCTCCTACTTACCAGGCAGCGCTTTGGCAAGCTAAGACATAGCGCCCTGCTGGAAAAACAGCATCCAACTGTTCTAGATTATGATCCAAGACAAACCCTTCTGTTTCCAAAGTGCAGACATTCCCCATTTCCCTCAAGATTTCCAGAACTACCCCCCACGCCCTGAACGGGGAGTTCCTGAAGATATTTGAAATCACTCCAACGTCTGTTGCCACTTCGGAAGCCTTAAGTAGGTGCTATGGGGAGACGCTGAAATGAGGTCACTTCTCCACATGGAAAACAGGGCCCATATGGGGGGAGGGAGGAATTGATCCCACGTATCCTTTCGGAGGCCAGAATACCCACTTCTGAGAATAACAGGCTTTTGTATCTGGCCTCTTAAACCACTCGTGCACCCTGACAGTGATGTTAAGCTTTGCTTCTCAACCACAATTTTCTTAAATGTTGTAATTGCTCAGGGAGGCCACGGTAGAACCTCTCTTTGAGCCCCTCCCAGCCATTGCTCAGCGTCGCTATCGGATACACACAGTCACCCTCCCTACAGCGGTGAAGGGTTTTGTTTGTTTGTTTGTTTGTGAGCTGAAAGGAAATGGGCCGGGGGCGGGGCCAGTAGAACGGGGGGACCCAGGCGGGTGTGACGCAGCATCGCGCTGTTCTGTCTCCTGGCAGGGGGGTTCCAGAGTCCGGCTGGACACAGAATGTCCCGCTGCTGGTTCCTCTGCCCCGGGCCAATAGCCCGTTGACAATGGGCAGCAGGGAAATCGCTGAAGGGAGGGGTGGGGTCTGTCTGTCCGCCAGATGGGAACAGACACGCGAGTGTTTGATTCCAGGAGACTTTCTCTGACCTGTCCAGCAGCCAGGGCCATATTAGGAAGCGGAAATAGACCCAGAGCCTCAGATGCTCCTAAAGAACCACGTTCTCCTAAGGGCCCACTCCCCACAGCGAGGCCAGATCGACACAAGTCCCCACCTGACTGAAGGCCAGAGATCAGCCATGTCCTATTTCAAAGCTGCTCCCCCTGTCACAGCCAGGGTCAGAGTTACCCAGCAGCCCAGCCACGACAGGCTGCAGTCAATTCCAAACTGGTTCTCTGTGTGAATGGAAGGCAGCCTCTTTACCAGATCTAATCCGGATTAAGGATTTTGCTAGTTCCAACCCCAGATGCAGGAACTGGCACCTGTCAGGGACGGCTGAGTTAAATCTGAGCCCTGCAAGAAGGGCAGAGGACTGGTCAGGATGGTCGCCCTACTGGGTCCTTCCAGTCCCATGACTCTATGTTCTGAGAAACGGGGGATTTAAATCAGGGAGTTCCCATTGCAGTATCCCCTGCTTGAAGGTTGGTGGGTTTGTGCTGCTCCGTGCCGGCGGGACCAATCCCTGTCCGTGTCCCTGTGGGGAGGGGCGAGGCTCAGGTCTCAGCTCTCCCTGCTGCTCTGGTTTCACTGCCATGCTCAGAATCCGCTTCCCCTGTTTGTGCCGGTCCCTGCACTGTGTCTGGCACAGAAATACGTGGCGGTGTCTGCAGCTGTCAGCGAGCTGAGCCGCAGATAATACTTGGTGCTGGAAGAATCCGCGGTGATGGCGATGCGGCCTTGCAGGGACGGGTTTTAGACTGTGATCCCGCTCCACCGTCCCACCCACTCCAGCCCCGGGCACGTTGCAGAAGCTCTTCCAGCGTTTGTGATACTGGTCTGAGTTACAATAGTTCTGGGCGCCCTTTGGGTTCCTGTTTCCTCTGGGAGAGGGGACAGATTCTGATCAGTGTTTGCTGCGCTTCTCCGCTCCGCCTCCTCCCCAGCCTACCAAACCCCAGACAAGACCAAATATCTCCTGGGGAATGAGCCAGAACGTACCTGTCCAGGTGCCCCGAACCGGCAGATTCCTAAACGCGTGTTGCTGCAATGACGGGGGACATGGACATGCGGTTACTTCTCCGCACAGGAAGCAAAGGCGGCGCCCGGAGCGGGATTTGAACCCACGGCTGAGTTCGGAGACCAGAACACCCATGAGGGGACAGGCAGGCCCTGGAGTGGGCCGCTTTGTTAGATCACTCGGCCGCCCTGAGAGCGCCCCGGGGCAGTTTCTTCCGACCTTCGTTTTCTTAAACGTTTGCGTTACTCGGGGGTGCCAACACCCAAGCTGGGTCCAGAGGTGAGTGGGGGCGGGGAGCTTGTAGCTTGGATCAGAACTTCCCAAGAAGGTGGGAGAAACACGCGGTTTTGGTCAGACCATTCTCCTGCCAGACAAGGAAGAAGCAAATAAACAAAAACGAGCAACGAGCCCAGCCCCGCGGGGAAATAAACTGATGATACTTAAGATGAAAAACTTCCAAAGCGGAGCGAACACAATTCCTAGCGTCAAACATTAACCCTGCTTTATACACCGCCGGGAACGGTTCTTGGGGAATCTGTTTAACTGCATGGGTGCAAAATAGGTGAGAGTTATTCGTGTCAGCTTAATTCCCTATCGCGGGAATAAGATTGTCTTTTTTTCAGCAACTATACCAGGGGAAAGCGCGCACGCAGTCCCCCACTACCACAAATTGTGCAGTCGAGTTTCCTCTATTTGAGGAAATCGCAGGGGTCAGCGCACCCGCAGTGCAATGGGCGGGCCTCACCCTGGGAAAACCACCTTCCTGAGCGTGGTATTTCCCCTGCCAGGTAAGTATAAACTCTT